CCCTCTGGTAATGGATTAATAGTGGGTTAATAGTGGGTCAATAGTGGGTCAATAGTGGGATGATAATGGGATGATAATGGGAGATACCCTCTGGTTAACTAACAGTTTGCGAACTGGAAAATGGCCCATAGAAATAGATGGCTTACCGAGCTCAAAAATGGGTGGATCTTTTCAACATTTCGGACGAATTCTGAAAATAAATTCAATCCATAATTGAGCTCTAACCCAAAACTTAGTGGCCTGTTGGGTGGTTAGCGGTTGGCCCAAGAAAACAACATGATTAACGTTGGAGGCTCCGACATTTCCGATGGTTGAATTTCCTGGTGATAAAAAACCGTCAAAAAAAACTCTATTTAGAGCGTAATGTCCCGATATTTTCCCACGAAAAACCTTCATTTTTAAATTTCTAGTGGATTTTCCTTGTATTTTACCATGAAATCCCACCCTAAAACCCAGCATTCTTCACCGTTGGCTCGGTTGCGCCAGGTGACGCGTTCCAAGGCTTCCTCATCGCCGATGTCCATCTGGCGGTGTCGTTTGGGTTTAGCACGGTATTAATAGGATTTCATGGAAAATACAGGGAAAATCCATTGTAAATGGGTTGAAATGAAGGTTTCAATGGGAAAATACAGGGAAATACGCCATAACCAGTCATAGATAGGTCGGGTTAACCCACTTAATGGGTAACAAGTATAGCCCATTTAAAACCCATTTATGGCATTATACTCCATTTATAGATTTGCCGACTCACTTAGTCACTTACATAGTATTACATAGGGGACTTATGATTACCAGGGTTATTCACCACCAAGTGGGATGACCCAAGTTCAATGCTTACCAGACATTATGGTGTAGGAGGACATATCATTTCATTTATGCCATGTCAATGGGGGTTAACCGTAAAGTTTAGCCATCTATAGCCACCAAAACTGCAATGTCAATATATGTCAATGGTGGAACATTTAACATAATGAGAAACTAACTATGGATTTCAACAGCTGTAGGACATCTCTTTTTCCTATCCGGGGGCTACAACTCCGCGACCATGGTGGCCCTAAAAGGCTCAGAGGAGTCACACATTTTGCTGTTTGAATCAATTGACTCACCATAAAAATGCTCGTAGATCCCCATTTGAATCCATTTGATTGGTTACCCTGCAATTTCACATAGCAATGGAACATGATCATCAATGGGTAAATCATCCGATACATGGGTGATTTTCCTGTTAAAATGACCTTATGGCACGCAACAAAATATAGAGACCCTCACCTGGGGAAAACATCTTCCAGTGACCCGGTCCCAGTCACCACGCGGCCGATTCCTTTTTTACCTGCAAACAGGATAGGATTCATCCTAATCATCCTCGGAGCTTAGTTGGATATGATTCAGCAACTGCCCGACATGAATATAGCATATGCTACAAATGAATACAAATAAGTGATATATCTTGTAAAAAGATTTAAATATACCCAGTAACACTTGGATGAGATCTGATATGCACAATGCTGTGGTGTGTTATCCTGTTATATCCATTTATATCCCATATGGGGAGGCTATCATGGCTATTGGCGGAACGGCGAGATGCACATCCAAGTCGCAAGGACAGTCCGACGGGATCCCAGGGGCTTTGTCCACCAAAGGGTGTGTCGAACAGGAGACAAGTCTCAGTGGAAATATCGTACGTGTCAATTAAACAAAGATATAAATTAAATTTGGAAAGCTCGAATTAAAACAAAATGAAACATTCTCTTGGAAGTCTTATCAACAAATATGGTAAAAAGTTCAACTTCAATTTTACTTCTTTGGTACAACAGTTTGATGACATGAAACGTCCCCGCACACACTGGACACGCCCCGGGCCGCAAAAAAATTTTAGGGACAAAGAATTTCGACATTAGAGACTGACGCTCAACTCCAATAGTCGAGGATTGTTCACGTACATCGGAAAGCACTCCTGGGCAGCGACGCTCATCTCGTCAAATTGCTAGAGAATCCCAACTGCAAATGGCACATGTGGAGATTTCCTAAGTCATGGGGGTACCCCCAAATCATCCATTTAAAAAACGGATTTTCCATGAAATAAACCATCCAGCTATTGGGGGTACCTCCGTTTATGGAAACCCCCAGTTGGGATCTAAAAACCTGTGATTTGCCAGGTTTATCATTACTGAAGGGTAGCCATATTTTTCAATCGGAAATTTTGGTGTCGATCAAGTATTTAAAGGCTTACGCCTGACAGCCGGGCGCCGGCCAAGCAACTACGTTTGGCGGATGGTGTGGGAAGATTGGGCCGGGATTCTAACCCAGGGAGGGCTATGTTGAACTGAGGTAGGCATAACGCGCGGTGCTTGCCTGTATGGAAGCAGTCTGGGCCTATGGTGCCCATGTTGGGCCAAGTCGGGCCCATGGAGCCATCTTGGGCTTATGTTGGGGGTTACCACACTCACAGAGATCCGGGCGCGGGCCACGGGCCCTTGTCCTTGCCGGAGGCCTTCGGTAGTAACCGAAGGTTATAGGGGCTGCCCCCCCGCCGCCGACCCACCCCCGGCCCACCCGGGGCCTACTCCCGAACCACTGAAGCCCCTGTAATTTACGGCGTATTTTGCTTGCGGTGTTAAAAAAACATCGTTTTTTGCGGTGTTTCGGGCCCTTCAACGGCAAGGATTTTCATCTTGGCGATGTAAAAAAAACATCGGTTTTTACGTGGTTTTGGGCTCGTTTCAACATAGATGGCCCAATCAGGGCCCCAACAAAGGTCCCAAGAGGGCTCAACATGGGCCAACATAGGCCCAACATAGGCCAACATGGGCCCAACATAGGCCCAACATGGGCCCAAGATGGGCCCAACATAGACCCAACCTGGCCCAATATAGGCCCAAGATGGGCCCAACATGGCTCAACATGGGCCTGACTTGGTCTTTCTATCTATCTATCTATCTACCTATCTATCTATCTATCTATCTATCTATATTTACCTATTTTTCTTTCTATCTTTCTATCTATTTATCGATTTATCTATCTATCGAATCCCATTTATCTAGCCTATCCTGTCTTATCATATTCCATCTATCCTAATCTATCCTTTTGCTATTTTATCTTTCCTATCTATCGTATGTGCCTGATCTTTCTTATCTGTCCTATTTGTCTTATTTGTTCCTTTTTAAATTATACTTTTTTTTTTTTTATATAATCCTATCTATTTATCTCTCTATTTTTTCTTCATTTTTTTTAAAATTTCTCTAATCTGTCCACTCTTTCTGCTTTATCTACTCAGTCTTTCTCTAATCTATTTAATTTATATACTGTATTCAATGTGTCCAAACAGGATAGAAAAAACAAATTAAAATTATATTTCCGGAGACCTTAATTAGGTGGTGGATTTAAGAAAAATTGGGAACAAGGTCAAACACAGGAAATAGTAGCGATAGCAACGGTGAAAATGCTCAACTACCCGATGGGGGGTATAAGTATTTGGACCCAAACGCTCGAATCAAGGAGCGTAGGACTGTTACATTGGATGCGCTTAAAATATCGAAGGATACAAGAGAAAGATATCATCATTCTCAATCCCGGAGCTCTGTGAATTTTAGAGGCTGCGCAATTTTCGACGTGCGATAGTTCTAGATGGGAGATTTGCGAAAGACAAACAAGACAAGGACTCGGGAAGGCGGGCAAACCATCCAACAAAGCGAAACAAGAACAATTAAGGTGGAAATAAACCGCCAAGGGAGATAAGGGAACGCAGCTCAAGTTTTGAAGGGGTTGAGACGAAAGCTCTGAAGTGATTTGGTCGCCAAATGTGATGAGACAGTCTCATCTGCAGTGGCAAGAGAAGTTCAACGTCTCATCTGCAGTAGTGCGATTGTTGAGTCAATGAGGGGAAGACTGCCCCAGTTATGCAACTGTCGATGTATAAATCCAATGAAGTAGTTCAATGTTACCTAGTTTTGAATTGGAGTTGCTTGCGACTTGCGCCAACTTAAATCAGAGTCTTTCTCAGAGATATATCTATCTGGTCCATCTGGAACAAGCATCATAGTTGTTTACAACATGCTCAAGAGAAACATTACCTCGAAGCAAATATCATTCACCAAAGTTCTGTTCCAGGTAAGGCAAGGTGTCCACTAGTTTCTAGCTGCGATTTTCGTCAAACAGGGATCCTCATATTTCCTCTCAAAACACCACCCTTGGGTGGACTTCAACCATGATGGTTTCAACCCCTCCCAAGAATATTGGTCAGTGTTGAGGAAGAGGGGGTTGTGTTCTCAAGAGCATGGGCTGTATTTGCGACCAAACATCCACAATATAATGGAACATCACTTTGCACGTTCCCATTGCAAAAGCCGATGTTAAATCAGGCTTTAGCCAAAAAAACATTTGACACCCATCATTGTTGATGGTTAATGTCCCCATATATCATCATAAGATCATGAATCTCTATATCTGCTTTTTTCCTCCCAGGCATCACCATATTGCTGGCACTTCCCCCCCCAGACATTCCCATGATTTGCTGGCTATTTTGTTTGTATCCTAATTATGATTTAACATCACTATGGAAATCCCCAAACGGGCAGCACATAATTTTGCCACTATTTCAGGATTAGATTCAATCTTACCATTATTTTCCTACCTTTTTGGAGGTTACTGCCGGTGTTGAATCCCAGATGTGCCATGATCAAAAAAATGTTGCTATAGTTGCTATAGGGTACGGTCATCCCACCATTATTGGGAGTTCTCAATTATCTTTGTATAAAGTGGTGTATTGTATCAAGAAAAGGGATTTATGTGGATAATTTTACGGAGAATCCCATTGAAAATGACTACACACATCCTATCATCCTCTTGAAAATAGTACATCTACATCATATACCCTCTGGTAAACATAGCTAATTATTGAAAATTGCCATTTATAGTTGATTTACCCATTGAAAATGGTGATTTTTCATAGTTATGTTAGTTTACCAGAGGGTACCATTCATCTTCAGATTCGTCATTCATGGTGGGGTCACCATAGTGTCCCCGTCCGTCGCCCAGGCGCCGGGAAGGGACGATTGGCGGAGGCATCGTTGTAGGCATCGCAGGCATCGGCCATCTTCGACAGCTCCTCCTGGGTCGCCGTTTTTACTGCCTACTGGTGGTGAATTACTGGTGGTTATCAACTGATAAATCACCATCCAACTAGGTAGTAGTATGACCGGTTAATTACTGGTATCAGCTACTGTAATTTACTGGTGGTTATCAACTGCTGGTTACTGGTAGTATAATCAAAAATAAACCAGTAGTTGGCTACCCTCTGGTAAGCATACGAAAAAACTATGGAACATTGCCATCCTTAATAGGTAAATCAACGAACTTTCTATGTCCGTTTTCTATGTCGCAAACTGTCAAATTACCAAATGGTATCTATCAATATCTCATCAATGGATGATTTACTGAAGAAACATGGTGATTTTTTTGCATTGCACACGGTTTAATTATCAGAAGGTAGACCTGGGAAAAGACGAGGCACGTATAAAACATGGGGTTTTGAGCCAGAGAAAAGAAGTTGCGATTGGCACAAAAGGCTGATTTCGACACTGCACAAGGAGTTTGGCCTTGCATGTTAAATTTCAGGGGGTACGTGAAACAAAAAAAACTGCACATTCCCAATTCCACACACCTCCGGCCTTGCACAAATGGGATTTCAAGCCACAAAAATTGAGTCTGAAACAATTCTAGAACAGCAATTTTAGGCGTGGCTGGTGGTTTACCTACCCCTTTGAAAAATGATGGAGTTCGTCATTTGGGATGATGACACTCCAAACTGAATGGACAGTCATAATCCAGCCATGTTCCAAACCGCCAACCCCACCGGTCATCTGCAGCATCCCAAGTCAGTCATGGTAGGTTTATGGTATTGCCACACCATGGGGGATGGCGGGATATAGTGAACGGAGAAAAACGCTCCATTAAACCATGAAATCCCTACAGAATGACCAACCCACCGGTTTTTCAAAGCTTTGTGGCTTATTTTCCATAGGTTTAACCATAGATTTCATCTCCATATCCCAATATCCGGAGGTAAAATCTTCCACTTTTCTCCTGAACCAGTCTTGGATCCCCATTTGTTGTTTTTTCCCAATCCCTAGAACAAATCCTACTAGATCTGGTTGGTGGTATACCTACCCCTTTGAAAAATGATGGAGTTCGACAGTTGGGATGATGACATTCCCAACTGAGTGGAAAAATAAAATTCATTTTCCAAACCACCAATCAGAAATCATCGTGAAATCTCCATGGCAATCCCTGAACTCCGCCTGAAAAGTCTTGAAGACTGCAAAGGGATCACCACTTTTGGGCGATGGAAAGAGGTGTGTCCAGTCGCCCCCCAGGAGCCTCACGGAGATCGGTGGGAGATCGTGGTGATTCAATGGTGGGAGATCGTTTTTTTTGGCTTGAAGTGGATAAACATGGATCAAAGTGGGTTAACAAAGATTATGGTTGGAAACTGGCTTTTCAGTGGATTTCAGTAGGTTAAACCATACAAACATGGATCAATATGGGTGAAATGGATCAAAGCATTGGGTCAAAATGTATCAAACATGGTGGGGGGTCTGATTACAGTTCCTATTTTCAGAAAGTGGATGAAAATGGGGGGTCACAGCCCACTTTTTTTTTGGGAAACGTTTTGGGATACAGAGTTTTGAAACCATCAAGCAGATATTAGTTGATATACCCAGTAACTGCATCCCGGTTGTGGTGAATTCGTGTGGATCGTGGATCATTTTGGGCGAACCGTTCACGCTCCGCATCCCTTAAGAGATAAGACATGTCAACATCAAGGACAATTCTGAAAACACATAGTGAGGGGAAAAGACTTCTCAGCCAGCCGTGAAATTTTTGGTGAACATATACTAAAATCACTAAAGCTCATGTTTATATACCTTTACTGCGTATACAGTACATCTATCATCCAGTGATAGGGAGCGACAGAACCTCCCGTTAAATCAGCATGATATCCCCATTGAAACCCTGCATTCCCAGCCCCATTTCCCCATTTTTTATCCCACCTTCGAAACACCAGTATCTAATGTGCCAGCCCCGGCTCTCAGTGGATCTTTGCCCATCATTAGAAAAACCTGGCATCTCACATCTTCCATCCTGCACCTCCTCAACTGTAGCGGTACTGTCGTGCATGTTGACGACGGTTCCTGCGATTCTGGCGGCGGTTCCTGCGGTGCTCGCGCCTGTTTCGGCGATTGCGGCGGTTGCGAGGTAAATCGTCTTGGTCTTCGTCGTAGCCGTGGTAGTGGTGCTCGAGCTGGGTGCCTGCCCACTCTCACTTGTGCTGGTGGTGACATCCACACAGCAGGAGGCACATGATGGATCGTCTCGGCAGCAGATTTCTTGCGGCGTGATAGGTCCACATTGAGACGAGTTGGTTTTGTTGCAAACGTTCACAAAATTGGGACGGATCTCCTGGTTGAACATGTTGAACCAACATATACCCCCATTCAGGTTCACCACCAAGTCATTGCAATCATCGTCTTGGGTGCAGTTCAAGTCCATGCAGGCACCAGGTGCCAAGTTGATTGTGGCCTCGTTGCACGCACCCTGTCCTCCGGGACCAGATCATTTCGAAATACAAATCGCTACCTTTTTTTAGGGTTTATCCATGTGTATCCCCAAATTCTATCCGCCCCATTTCAAAATGAATATTGCCATTACATCCCATTACATCTCATTATATACATCCCAACAAACATCCCATTTCATCCCACTAACCACTACATCCCGCTACATCGCGGAAAACATCCCATGACCCATGGGGTGAGCCCTTTCCCCGCTCCCTTCCCGCTCCTCCTCCTGTACCTGCAGCCTCGGAATCACATTCGAAAGAGATCGCGGAATTTTCATTGAAGCTGAAGGTGGAGTCCTCGCATACGAAGTCACCCAGGCAATCCACCACATGCGTGTCATTGGCCACAAAAGTGAAACTGCTATTGGTACAAGTGCTCCCGGAAGATGATGGATTGGACTCTGAGGTGGCGTTGCAGTACAAGTCTTGCTCCAAGATCACCTGTGAGTCGGAACAGGCAAGAAGACCTCGGCAAAGGAGGCTTTCAACGTCGTCCATAGTAGAATTTGTGCACACCCGAGTGCCATCACAGCACACATCATTTTGGCAAAGGGCGTCGTTTGCCGTCAAATTGAAGGATGAATTGGAACAAGTGTCCCCATCATTTGCAGATGAACAGCACGCCGCCCCCACATTTGAAACCTTCCAAACATCTGTGCAGGTCACATCTCCGATGCAGACCATGACTTGTCCAGGCGAAGCGAACTTGAATGTGGCACTCGAAACATTCTGTGAGCAAGTGCGGTTGCCTTCGCAACGCAATTCGTTGTTCGGGAAGCGATTGTCTTGTTGTGGCAAGACTGCATTCGCTCCTGGCAAGTCACATCCTACGCATACATCATCTCCTACGCACGCGCCTTGGTTCAAGAGGTCGACATCACAACCAGCCCTTAGGGCTTTTTCGGCGCCTGCACTCAAAACTTCAAAATTTGCTCCCAAAGTTTGCTGAGATCGACTTTGCATAGCTTGCAAGAACGCTGCACCATCATGGTAGCAGTCACAAGATGCGCCACCAGGGAAGTTCGTGCAATCACTCGAATCTGTGCTGCGGGCGGCGATTTCATCGATCAAACCCAGGCCGAGGGCATGGATCAACACAAATCACATTGATGTCATTGCATGGTCCGATACTGCGCGCAGTCGCAAAAGCTACCGCAGTGAGAATGGAAAGGGGTGCGGTACAGTGTCAAGTTGCCAAACGCTACTTGAGCTTGAGCAAAACTGGTTACGGTAAAATTCCCCAGAAAATCCCCATCCAACCATTCATCTGAAGTGAATCCAAAAAAATAGTGTCGGTAAAACAATTCAATGCCATAAACCATCCCCCAGTCATCACCATGTTGATAGGTGGTATAAACCATGAAAATATGGATTTTCTGGCCGCAATTTTTCCCTTGAAAGTTCACCAAAAACCACCACCCTGCCGCGCCTGGGCATCGGCAGGTTGGTGAAGGACATCAACAGCGCCGTGGCGGTGGCCGCCTGTTTGGTGCCGCATTTCTGGCCCTTGGTCCAGCGAAAGGCTGTCCACGAGACGTCCTGCGCGTAGACCTGGGGAATGGGATGGTGAATGGCTGGGTAATGTGGATGGTTAATAATCGGTTAACAATGGTGAATAGATGGTTAATATATAGGCTATATATATATATAGGTTAATGTATGCTTAATAGATGGTCAATGGTGATTAACGGTGGTTAATGGATGGTGCCCCAGTTTTCGCTGTTCACGCTAAGTTGGCGCGTTCATAACTCCAATTTCATTTGGATACTTGGGTTTATGGTAGATATATCGAACTACTTACTATGGTTTATAAACAAACTTATATCTGGGGGGCGCGCACCACCTTGTAGGCATCCCTAAAATGGCTGGTTAATGGATGGTTACACCGCGAAAATTATGATAGTGGTCAAAGCCCCGCATCTTTTGCAATGTAAATCTTCACTTAAGGATTTGCTTACGGAACCCCACCCAAAACAAAATATTTCCTATTATGAATGATTGGGAAATAAACCAAAAAATCCGAATCATCTTCAGCAAATCCACAATTTGCCACTGGTAAAACCACAATTTCTCTTCAAAACATCGCAGTCTTTGGTGAAGAAACCCGCCCAAGCAACCCAAGTAACCCAACAAACCCCTGCTGTCCCCATATTGTACCAGGTTTGCTGGTGAAACACTGATTAAACCTCTCCATTTTACTAGTTAACTCTGATTTTTTCGATGGCTTTAAACCCTGACGTTACATGAGTTCTTCTGCCAAAATCATTTTTTCTAGACACATCTTCCCCTTTGACTGGTGTCAATCTCACTTTTGGCAAGTTAGATTCACCAAATTTCAGTGATTTCAACTGATTTCGATTTCAGCGAAAAACCATGTCCAAAAAATCAAGTCATCTTCAGAGCTTTATTTAAAAATCACATATACCAATGGTTGGTAAATTATAATAATTCACTAATCTGAAATAAGGCTATTTTGGGATGATTTCCCTTACCAACCTTTAATCCAGTGAGGGAGAACAGTGAGGTCGCAACATAATTTACCCTGATCTAGAGATGAGTTGGTATGGAAGAGCTGGTTTAGTAATAAACCATGGCTGGTACCCCCCATATAAAAAACCAGCCTAAGGGTTTATTCATCCAGAGTTGACATTAGTTGGATTCCTATGGATAATAACAATCATTGACCATTATCAACCATTATTAACCATCATATAACCATTATATTACCAGATGGTAATAATGGTCATATGCTGGTTAATATAATGGCATATGATGGTTATTACCATATTATATTACCATTGTAAATATGGGTATTACCCACAGTTATACCCAGATGGTTCATGGTTCATGGGGTCATTACCCGACGCCGTTTTTTTTTTTGCGCGCGCCGCGGGCATGGCCTCGACGGCGCCGGCCTGCTCGTGTCCTGCGGTGACGTAGAGCATGATCTGCGCCAACCACTTGGCGTAGAACCTGAGTCGGGCCAGACTGGGCCAGACCTGGACCTTTTGAAAAAGTATCCTGAAAGGGTCATCCGGCCATCCTTCACCATCCACTTCAATCCCAGTCATCTTTGGGGTGTCCATGGGGTACACAAATTACAATTGAGTTGGGTGATGATAAATAAAATGGGATTTGGGGCTACCTTTGTTTTGGGGAACGAACATTATTTTCCCAGGTACACATATGGAGGTTTCCTAAAATGGTGGTACCCCTAAATCATCCATTTTAATAGGATTTTCCTGTATAAACATGTATAAACCAGCGAGCTATTGGGTTACCCCCCAGTTATGGAAACCTCCATATGGATTAATGATGATCAACAATGGTAATGGGCTTTAAAACCATAGGGAATAGTACAACTATGTGGTTTATGATTGCTACAACCTATAACAAATATCACTTTAATAGGATTTTCCAATATAAACATGTATAAGCCATACAATTTTGGGTTACCGATGATGTTCCCGTTACAACTGTGGATGATTGGAAGCACCAGGCGGCACTCGTCGATCGAGTGCCTAACGTGGAGCCGAGCGAGCCAGCGGGCTGCGAATCAGCGAGCCAGCGACTTCACAGTTCAGCCAGGTGCACATATATTACATATTGTATATATATATATATATATACAGATATGAATATACATTAGTGTATATATTTTTTTGTATTATATATATATCACATAATATATAGCATATACATATAATAGTTGTCCAGATTTCCTGGGTTCTCGGGCACTGCACGTTGTCGAAATTTCGTCAGAGATCAGATCCCGACCAAAGCTGTCGACGGCTGATCCCTTTCAGGGTCGCAGTTGAGGATAGAAGCTCCTCAGAAATAACTAGTAGCTCTGTTGGTTTTTATCATCATCGTTGGTCAAGCTATGTAAAAATCCATATTTCCCATTAATATCCCATTTTTCATTGCTTATCTCATGAAATTTCCCATTATACCACCGTTAAATCCCATCTTTTTATGGTAACATCACCTTATCCTGGAAACCATGCTGAAATGTAAGGGGTTTAAAGTTAGGGGTATGGGATTATGACACACGGTCGTTACAAGTGTGGTAAATGATCAAAAGCCACGAAAATTTTATGGATTATTGTTTGCTGGTTGGTGGTTGACCTACCCCTCTTAAAAATATGAAAATCAGTTGGGATGATAATTCCCAACTGAATGGAAAAATAAAAAAAACAAACCACCAGCCAGCTTGTTATACCCATATATCTCCATTGTATCTCTGTTGTATCTTCATAATCCGCAATGAGATCCCCATTGATTGGGTAACCCCTATGAGCCAACTTAGATAAAAGCCGATAAATTCACCACTTCTCCAAGGATACCCTCCGGTAGCTATAAACCTCCATTTAGCTTGGGGAAAATACCATTGAATCCCCATTCGACACCTATTAAATCCACATTAAATCCACATTATATATGAATAAATCCACATTAAATCCCATGAAATCCCATGAAGTCTCTATTTCTTGATGCTTGACACCACCACCACCCTATCGCCCGCACGTTTTTTCGCCGCGCAGCTCGTAGGTCTCCTCCACCGTCTGCGTGTTTTGCTCGAAGAAATCGGGACCGGAACGGCCCAGCATCGATGGAGACGCCATCTCCAACTGGAAGAAGTACTGCCTGGAGCTCCGGAAACTGGGGAAACTGGTCATCCTCGACTGCTTGGTGATAGACTTGATAGTGTAACTACTTGATGGTTAATATAGGGTTAATCTATATCTATATCTATATATATATATATATATATCATCTGCTTGGTGGTGCAAACACACCATCTTGAAAAATGATGGAGTTCGTCAATGGGAAGGATGACATCCCATATATGAAATGGAAAATAAAAGCCATGTTTGAAACC